TTACTTTCCTGCCAACTATGGGCTTTCCGCTTTTCTTTTAAAGTGACTAAAATATTACTTTCTACTTTTTAATTTGTTTGTACATGTAGGTGTAATCTTGAAGTCGGCTTCTGTTTTACTTCTAAAAATTAACTTTATTGTTAATAACGAATACCTACCTGCTTATCCAGAGCGCTGTTTGCGTAATATTCATGTTGATACTGGCCCTGAATTTTGGTACACATTTAAATAATTTTGATTAATCACCTGTTCGTTGACTTTTGATTGTCAGCCGGAAATAAAGAAACTATAATTTTTTTGAATCAATTAATGTCATACTCCAAATTTAAGTGGGTCAGTATTAGGAACGTTGGTTGCAGTCCTTGAATTGTTTTTGACGTGTACATCCGCACCAATTTTATTTATTCCATCAGATAATAACTGATACAATCGTAAAAAATGAGTTATTTGTTTCTTCTGACATTCAAGTTTTACTATTTTAATAAAGGCTTCTAATGTTAAAATCAAGAAACATTTATCTAATTATCAAACTAATAACAATAAAAACAAGTAATTACCAAGGAGGTTTTCAATTCGACTGTATTTTTTTGTATGATTTTAGTGATTCTTTTTACCTCAAGGGTAATCCTATTTAAATTTGAATGTAATATACTACCATTAACGGTTGAAAATTAGGGGATGATTTNCATATTCACTGCCAAAAGTCAGTTAAAAATTTTCCATATTATTCGTTATATGTTATTTTATTCAAAGTTTTTGGTCAATTCCAAATTTTCTCTTAAACTGTATACTTTTTTTTAGTATAAATAGTATTTATTTTCCTCATGATATACTGCAAAACCTAATTAATCACGAATTTCTAATTTTATGTACTCTTATCTCCGATTGTACCTCCCAAACATCCTTAATACATTCTTCTTTTATTTCCTTTACCTTACTTCATAGTTCTTCATGTCTTGACTCTCCTCCATGTCCTTCCTTTCTCTCTTCTTTAATGTACTCTCTTCTTTCTTTTTCAAATATTCCATCAGCCCACTTATGCTATTAATTTCTCCTTCGTTATTCTGCATAGTGTCTTTACTTAGTTCCCTAATAGTCCCTAATAGTCTGTTTTTTTTTACTTTCCTGCCAACTATGGGCTTTCCGCTTTTCTTTTAAAGTGACTAAAATATTACTTTCTACTTTTTAATTTGTTTGTACATGTAGGTGTAATCTTGAAGTCGGCTTCTGTTTTACTTCTAAAAATTAACTTTATTGTTAATAACGAATACCTACCTGCTTATCCAGAGCGCTGTTTGCGTAATATTCATGTTGATACTGGCCCTGAATTTTGGTACACATTTAAATAATTTTGATTAATCACCTGTTCGTTGACTTTTGATTGTCAGCCGGAAATAAAGAAACTATAATTTTTTTGAATCAATTAATGTCATACTCCAAATTTAAGTGGGTCAGTATTAGGAACGTTGGTTGCAGTCCTTGAATTGTTTTTGACGTGTACATCCGCACCAATTTTATTTATTCCATCAGATAATAACTGATACAATCGTAAAAAATGAGTTATTTGTTTCTTCTGACATTCAAGTTTTACTATTTTAATAAAGGCTTCTAATGTTAAAATCAAGAAACATTTATCTAATTATCAAACTAATAACAATAAAAACAAGTAATTACCAAGGAGGTTTTCAATTCGACTGTATTTTTTTGTATGATTTTAGTGATTCTTTTTACCTCAAGGGTAATCCTATTTAAATTTGAATGTAATATACTACCATTAACGGTTGAAAATTAGGGGATGATTTCTGAATTTAACTGTTTATTTTACGTTTGTACATACACATAAACAAACTATTGAAATCGGTTTTTAAATATCAGTTATTTACATGTTCTACATTGTTTTCCGTTCTATATCTGTCGTGTATATCCAAGATTCCTCTGGGGTTCCAGTTTTCTGTCCTGTCGGCTTCTTTTTTTTCCAGTGCTTTTGTTCCCATTGTATAATCTCCTCCATTTCTCATTGTACCTCTGTTCTTTCCTCGCTTCCTGTCTCTTATTATTCTTCCTTTTTTTCGTCCCAAATTCATAATTCCTTATCTATTATTATCATCTTATACCCAACTTTAACCGCCTTATCCACATTTTCTTTCTCTCCTTTTTTACCAGCATTGTTCCAGCATCTTCTATATTTTTGTCTCTTCCACAATCATATCATCTTTTATACACACATCTATTCCCCTCAGCATTTTACTATTCATAACCACCTCTTTCTATTTCTGCCCCATACACCTTCTTTTTTTAACTTTTGATACCTCTCTTATTTCCACTTTCAGCCTCATCTTCTCTTTTATAAATCTATACATTTTTTTCAGATCTTTGTCTTCCTATAAATCTAGTTCAAAAATCATTGCATATCGTTCTTTTTCTTCCATTCTTTTTTTTTCCAGTGCTATTTCCAATCTCTTTATTCTTTTCTTTTGTTCCTTTGCTTGTTTCACCACATGTTGTCCTATCTTCGGTCCCTCCAGTACCACTCCCTTTACTTCTACTTTTCAGTTGTTTTTTTCCGTTTTTAAGCATCCATTACAGCCATTAATACGTTCCTCTTTTATTTACTTCATCTTACTCATAGTTCATCACGTCTTGACTCTCCCCCATTTCCTTCCTTCTGTCTCCTTCAATTTACCTTCTTCTTTCTTTTTCAAATATATCATCAACCCACTTATGCTATTAATTGTTATTAATAAATTTGGCCCTGTGCAAATAATTTTATTATAGTTTAGGGCCTAAATCTATTTCCTAGTATTTCGTATGTTGATATTTTCCAAATTTTATTTTCTTATTAGTTTCCTACTTTAATCTAAAAACGTCCAGGACTTTCAGCTCCCCCTTAGACACTTCTCTTAATAATTTCATTTCGAAAATACTAATACAGTTATAGCGTTTATTTATTTCGTATAGTGTTAGAACGGTGATGTAAATTTTAAGTTAAAAGTGCAATCTTGAAGTCAAGAAGAAGTTTCATTTGGGATTATTGATTATTTTGTTGATATTAACGATGCAAGTGCTAAATGCAAAATTTGTAATAAAATATTCTCGAAAAGGCGCACGACCACTCCATTAAGGAATCACCTAAAATCATTACACTTCCGCTTCCGCAACCGCTTCCGTTTCAGCTTCCGCCAAAATTTACTATTTACTTCTGTTTTTACGCTTCTGCTTCCGCTATGACACTTCCGTTGCATCGCTAGTAGGTACCTACTTCAGGTCAGGTCATAAGGTCGTCAGTCCTAAGACTGGTTCGACATGTACCTCCACTCCTTCCCATCCTGAGCTAATCTTCGCATTTTCCTAGAACAGCCCACATACTTAACTATTTGCGAACAGTAATCTAACCTAGGCCTGCCTCTACCCCTCCTAACTCCTGTTTCTGCCTCTAATATGCCTCTAACTAGACCTTCATGCCTAAGAAGGTATTCCAGTAACCTACCTCGCCTATTTTTTAATGGCTTCCATAGAGTCCTCTGTTCTCTTATTCTTTCTAATACCTCTTCATTTCTAACCTTTTCTACCCACGTTATCCTCATCATTCGCCCATAACATAACATTTCGAAAGCTTCTAACCTATTCTTTTCAGCCGCGCCCACTGTCCATGTTTCGCACCCGTACAACGCCGCGCTCCAAACATACATCTTTAACAACCTTTTTCGAATTTCTAAATTAACCGTTCACGAGCATAGAAGTAACTTATCCCTACTACACTCCTTCCGTCCTGACTTATCTGACTTCCTAGATATCTAAAATGAGCCACCTCTTCTAATTTTTCGTCTCCTATCGTTATATTCGCTCTTTCCCTACTTTTCCTTCCCTTGCATACCATAATTTTAGTTTTACTTTTATTTATTTTCATACAGTACTGATCTGTCAGTACCGCTTCCATTTTATTTAAAGCTATCTTTAATTCCTCCTTGCTAGATGCTAGTACTGCTATATCATCTGCAAATCTAAGCATACTAATCTTTTTCCCCTGTACATCTATTCTTACAATTGTACTGTCTTTAATGATGTTGATCGCGTCTTCGATGTATAGATTAAAAAGTAGCGGTGACACTGTGCATCCGTGTTTGACTCCTTTTCTAATATTTACTTCTCTACGCTGCAGCCCTAGCTCTATAACTGCCTGTTGCTCTTTATACAAACTATGTATCACTCTTCTATCTCTGTAACTCATCCCTACATTTTTAAGTATATTTAACATCTTGTCCCATTTAACATTGTCAATAGCTTTTTCTAAATCTACAAATTTTATGTATGCACTCTTTCCTTTTTCTATCGTTTTCTCAATTGTTACCCGTAAAGCTAGAATGCCTCCCCGCGTTCCTCTATTTCTACTAAATCCAAATTGATCTTCCCCTAATAGTTCTTTCGTCCTTTTTTCCATCCTCCTCTGTACAATTCTAGTCAAGATTTTTGATGCATGGGAAGTTAAGCTAATTGTTCGAAATTTCTCGCGCCCCTCTTTTTTTAGGTAATGTTACTACTACGATCTGTTTATAATCGTCTGAGACTTTCCCCGTCTCGTAAATGTGACTAACTATCTTAAACATTCGATCTCCAACCTCTTGTCCTGCATGTTTTAGAATTTCCCCCTGTATCCCATCTACCCCTGGCGCCTTATTATTCTTTAAATTTTTTAATGCTACATCGAACTCTTCTCTCATTATGGGATAACCTAGCTCATCTATCTCCACTCTATTTTCATTCTCTAATATATCTCTTACTTCATTGCCTGCGTATAGGTTCTCTAAATATTCTTTCCACCTGTCTGCCTTTTCCTCATTTTCTATCAAAATGACTCATGCCTTGTTCCTTATATTATTACTACTGCATCCTACATCTCTATAATTCCCTAGGTACCTACTCAACAAACAATATCGAAGTCAATTTTTTAGCATCAGCATATTTAAATTATATTAATTGGGAATGGTTTGTTTGCATTTCAGATGAAGGGGTGACAAAAACGTTTACATGTGCACGAAGTTTAACAGGACAATTCGTCTTCCTGCAGTTGGTTGGAGTGGAAGGATCACTGTCATTGTGCGAGGTTGAAGTCTTTACAACCGACGGTATGTTCTTTTCATGGTCAATTTATTTTTTTATCTATTCTAAGCCCATTTGATCCAGTTAGCAACCATAATGTAGAGCATACACCACGCACATATTCAATGACCTCGATTTAACAGCGTAAAATTTTTAATTGCTGAAGTAATAAAGTGAGGAAAGTTCATTTTATTATCGGTATGTATCTACATTCTCAAAACCGTTAATGGCACCATCACAAGTATAAACGATTGCTTAATGTTTTATGCCTACAATCAATTTGACGCATTTAATTAATTACCTTATAATAAATAAAGGCAATAATTAAACTGAACCAAAGCCGTTCACTACCTTAATAATTATAGGGAATTCCTCAATAGCCTACCCTGATCATAGGTAGTGTTGGGTAAAAATTTCGATATATCGATATATTCAGTAATGATCGAAAGTTATGAATATATCAATGAATATGTAACGATATATCGATGTATTGATATACTTCATTTACTTTCTCTAGCGATATACCCCTTCCAATGTCTTGGATGCGCGTTGGCAAAATCGTAAGTAGGGAGAAAAAAGCTCATTATACTCTCGACTCTTGTTCATTAAACATACTTTTTCATACAGTACCTTCCAAAAGTTTTGTTCAATAATGAACAGTAGTGCGTTGAAAACAAGCGTTAAAGCCTTTAATATGTCTTCAAATATATATAAACATCTCGTTGATATTTTCAGTAGTAACTGGTACCAATAACAGCACATTTGAGCAATGCAATTGTAGTGGATAAAATGGTTAATTTTTCCGTGCAGTACTGTACAGTTTATACGCTCCTCACCGGTTAAGAGAGTTGTCTCCTTCCTTTTCTGGCCTAGTGCTTTTCTACTATGCGCCTATCAAACTGAAGGTCACATCGCTACAGAAACTAAACGAAATATAACTATCGATAATTATAGAATATGTATGTATATCGATAACTCTTTGTTGTTGGGTTCTAAATTCCAAGATTAAAAAAGAAAAATTCCTGTTATTTTAGTGGGAACCAGAAAATTGTAAAATGCTTTCTGTAAATATTAATATTAAGGTTCATATTGTATGTCTAGCGATACTATAGTATTTTCAATGTTCTTTGAGATTAAAACAAAATAGTCATTTTTTTTAAATATCTTATTATTGATCTACTGGCAATTGTGGATTTTTTTGAATATTCGTAAAATTAAATATTTTCTAAGAAAAAAAATGTAAAAAAATAAACAGTTATATACTTATGGTAAACGGATTTATTTAGAAATAATATCTACCATGAATTAAAAATGATATACCTACTCATATAAAAATATCGATAGCTATCAGTTGATTATTGCTATCAATATATCGATAACTACTGATAATTATTGAATGTATAGATAGTTCTCGATATATCGAAGCAGATAACGACAGTTATCGATATATCGATAATTATCGAAACATGTATCTATCAATAGTTATATTATCAATGAATATCTAATGTTATATCAATATATTGATATTTATCGATAAGTATCGAAGATGTATATCGATTGTTGTCGGATTATAAAATTCTAAATTTAAAAAAGAAAAATTGCTGTTATTTAAGTGAGAAACAGAAAATTGCAAAATGTTTGCTGTAAATATTAATATTAAGGTTCACATGTTAACAAAATGTATGCCTAGGGATACTCGTCGATCGTTTTTTTCAATGTTCTTCGAAAAAAACAAAATTTAAATAGTCATTTTTTTTTGAAACAACTTAATATTAATCTACTGGCAATTGTTTTTTTTTAATATTATTAAAATTAGATANTTTTTTAAGAAAAATTAAGTAAAAAAATAACATATAGGGGGCTTATTGTTATCAATGTATCGATAACTACTTATAATTATTGAATATATCGAAGCAGATACCGATAGTTATCGATATATCGATAGTTATCAGTTGCTAACATGATTATCGATATATAGACAGTTATCGATATATATGAATAGTTACCGATATTTTTTGTTGTCAATAACTGGTAACTAAAAATAGTTATCGCCCTAGACTAGTCTAATACTCACTCTGTTCGTGTTGTCTTTTCCTACCATAACCATATAATCCTAAGCATAGACATCGAAACAGCAAGACAGCAATATTGTAAATGTTCATTATATTGTAGAATCTATTTAAAAGAAATTGCCGTAAAGTCTAAATTTGCTAAAGAAATTAATAAAAAATAATGTAACATAAATTAAAAGATATTGCAATACCCGTGAGGTGAACCCAAATGAAGGAAATGTTGTCTTATCAGGTTTCAGTATTTATTTTTCTTACAGAATTTTCGGTTGAACGTTGTTTTCCAAAGAGTGCTCCTGAAGATACCCAAGTGTCGTCGTTTTCGGGAATTTGTTACGAATTTGGAGTACAAAGGGGTGGATCGTTTGCGGAAGCGAGGGCTTCATGCAAGAATAATTCAGGCGGGGACCTTGTTCATGGCATGGGACTTGCTACAACAAACTTTTTACATGCCGAATTAGAGCGGAGGAAGCCTAATCTTAAAACGCAACTGGTGTGGATAGGTGCCCAAAAAGAGCCTGGCTTAACAAGCCGGACATGGAAATGGGTAGACGGTAAGAATAAATGTTTATGTATTGCTTAATAGTTCTAATTATTAACAGAGGTTTATTGTTATCAGTGTATAATCAGTAATTTCAAGAAAAAGGTAAGTAAAACTAACTGTACGAGGTCCGGTTATTAAATAACGAGACTGCGTGCGCGGAAAGAGTCTTAGAGGGATACGAATGCAGTGCTGGATAGCTGGAAGTGTCGTCTATTCCAGCACGAAAACAAATTTTCGTAGTAGTAGTCTTATTTTAATAGAGGTTAGAAATGAACGTGTTTTTTTCTCGTGCCGATAACAAATTATTGAATGAAATCTATGGTGAGAATTCTCTACCTCGTGCACGTGTTTTTAATTGGTATAAAAGGTTTTCTGAAGGCCGAGAGAGCACCAACGATGACCAACGTCCAGGTCGACCTGTATCTGTTTCAATTTCGCAAACAAAAATCAACGAAATTGTGCGCGGAGATCGTTGTATTGGCATTCGGATAGTTGTTGAGACGGTTAACGCCGATTAAGAAACGATCAGAAAAATTTTACGAAAAGACGAATTGAACTTGAAGAAAGTCTGTGCGAAATTAATCCCAAAAAATTTGACCCCCGACCAGAAGCTCGTCCGTTAACAAATCTGCTCAGATTTTCTTGAGAGATTAGATGAAAAGCCTGAATTAATGGAAAACATCATCGTTTACGATAAAAGCCGGCAATACATACACTGGAAAACTCCTGCATCGCCAAAAATGAAAAATCAAAATTTAAAACTATGCATTTTTTTTTTCGACATTAATGGCATCGTAATTGGCTCCAGGTCCAACTGATACGAAACTTACTATTTAAAGTTTTGGAAACACTGCACTCCTGCCCATAGCGTGCTGACTGTGAAGTTTTATTTGGCCGCTAGAGGCACTCCAGTGCTCGAACACAAGCCGCACTCACCTGATTTACCATCCTGTGACTTTTTCTTGTTTCTGAATATCAAAACTGCCTTAAAAAGAACCCAGTTCAATTCGATGGAAGAGGTGAATATCCTGAATGCTCCTACAAAAGAAGACTTCCAGCATTTCTTTGACCACTGGAAAACTCCTGCATCGCCAAAAATGAAAAATCAAAATTTAAAGCCATGCTAATCTTTTTTTTTTTCGACATTAACAGCATCGTAATTGGTTCCAGAAAGTCAAAACTAATACGAAACTTACTATTTAAAGTTTTGGAAACACTTCCAACATTTCTTTGACCACTGAAAAGAACGAATGGAACGATGTGTCGCGAGTCATCATCATAAGCAGTCTCATTATTTAATAGCCAGGCCTCGTATTTATTTGTTGGTTGATCTTTAAATAAACTACCAGACCTACTTGTACGGCCAACGTATTAATATATCAGTTATACAAAAAAAAAACAGAGGGCATTAGGCTTTGTTCAAAAGATTTTGAAAGTTCGGCTATTGGGATCCGTCAAATGGGAGGAGCCTAAAAACATGGCGCCGATTAGGGAAAATTTATCGTAGTTCCTATAGTGTACCGTGCAATTTCCAAGTTTTTAAATTACGATACAATGATAAGTATTGACACAATATGTGATTGGGCTGACACAAAGCCTCGGAAAGGAAATTTCGTTGAAGTTGAGCGTGTTTTTAATGCCAATCACATTATAAAATTCGGATTTAAAAAGTGATTCACGTTATATAATTGGTGAGGTGATTCTGGGTGATTTAAGCAATATCATATCAATGTCTTGCACGTGCAGAGCCGATTTAAGAGAACGTTGCAAACACATTATTGCAACTTTGTTGTATTGCAGCAGTTAGATTCTTAACCTCAAAATACTTATATCGTATCATTAGAATTGTGTTAAATCAATTACACAGGAATAAATAATTTTTCACTTTATAATTTTAGTATGATTCTAGTTTTAAATAATAAGGTTATGGCTGATGGTAAATGCTTGCTGAAATATAATCATGTGCATTAAAATGACCTGAACAAATTTTTATTCCGGAATTCACTTCTTTGATACCTACTGCTTTCATCCAAGCTTCTATTAGTTTACTTTTTTCTCTAATTTTCCGAATAAATTTTTTACAAATATAAAAGGGTTAGATTTTATTGGAAAGTAGTTAATGTAGGTGAAGAGTGAAGATCTATGTCTGAAGTGCTATTGCAGCTTTTCACTGAACATATTAACTTCTTATTTGATGTAACTTTAGAAGAAAACTTCGTCGACCCCATCATCAAAAAAATTTTCACTTTTTTAACGTGTTTTATTATTTTAATAAACAATTTTACAATTTGCGTGCACAGTTCCTATGTAAATTTTTCCCTCACTCGAGTTATAAATTTTGCCACCAGATGGTGTATGCCCATTTGATGGATCCCAATATTCAGAGATATTTTCAAATAGACGTGGTTAAAAAATATATTCCACACGTTCACCAAATTACGCATTTTTGCTAGTGCGACATAAAAAGGAAAGATGTCGACAGAGAAACATGCAATTTCTATGTTTGTTAAACGTTTTGTGTGTTTTGAAAATTTTACTTTCTTTATTTATGAGAAGTAACACTCTCGCTTTCTGTGATGAACATATAATCTCAGGAATTATTTACAATACACATGACACCTATATGTACATTGTACATTTCTATGAATATGAGATGCCTACATAACAATTTATAAAAAATTGTTGTCTTCCTGTTTGAACGACAGGTGTTATTTTTGACGATTCTAAATTAGATGCTTTCACTTGTTTATGTACATTAAAATGCTACTTCGTAAATTACTGACTTTTATCAACACGCAAGCATTATTTAATAACCGTTATTTTTATGTAATTAGAAAACGTGCGAATTCGTAATTAACAGTACAATGACATTAATTTATAAATATCCAAGAAATTTCATTTAGTAGTGATAAAATCAGACACGACGATTCACTCGAACTAGTTCTTATTTAAAATACAAATACATAACGCAAAATGGCAACTTCTATTTTCTATTTTAAGTATCGTTTTGTGATATTCTTTTAGTTACTTATTACTATTACTAGGTAAATATTATATTATCTACCAAATTAAAAGCTGAGTAGCCAAGTTAGCCTCTCACGACGTTTTGACGGTTTTAGGCGATACTTATTGAAACTCCATTTTAAATAAATTTCAAAAAATAAAACAAGCAAAGGGTCCCGCACCACCCTTATAAAAAATCAGCTGCGGTCAAATTGGCTGCAATTGGAATATAACCTTTATAAAATTTTGATCAAAAATCAAAGTCAACACAAAAGTTATTGTATTTTAATCAAAAACTTATGAAGAACATCATTTTCCAACTACAGTCAATCTGGCTGCAACCGATTTTCCATTCCATAAGAATTATGCGGGGTTTTCTGTCCTTCGTGATGGGTCATCTTAGATTATTACAGAAGTTGATAGACGAGATGACCTCTACCATAATCACGATAACTATATCCCCAGGGTCAATTCAAAAATGATATACTTGATCTTGAAATGACTCTGATGGTGAATATCAAAATCCCGGTATCGTGCATTACTTTGACCCATACTTAAAAAACTTTTAACCTTTTGGCCTCGTGTCTATAAGAACTTAAATGAGAAAGTCTTGAAGAACATCATTTTCCAACTACAGTCAATCTAGCTGCAGCCGATTCTCCATGAGGATTATGCAGAGTCTTCTGGCCTTCGTGATGAGTCATCTTAGATTATTAAAAAAGTGGATAGAGGAGATGACCTTCTACCATAATCATGATAACTATATCCACTAGGTCATTTCAAAAGTGATATACTTGATCTTGAAATGACTCTGATGGTGAATATCAAAATCCCGGTATCGTGCATTACTTTGACCCATACTTCAAAAACTTTTAATCTTTTGGCCTCGTGTCTATAAGAACATAAATGAGAAAGTCCTGAAGAGCATCATTTTCCAACTACAGTCAATCTGGCCGCAGCCGATTCTCCATGAGGATTATGCAGGGTCTTCTGTCCTTCGTGATGGGTCATTTTAGATTATTACAGAAGTGGATAGTGGACTTCTACTATAACCATGATAACTATATCGCCAGGGTCATTTCAATAAGTATTATGCGGGGTCTTCTGTCCTTTGGGATGGGTCATCTTAGATTATTATAGAGGGGATGACCTCTACAATAATTTTGATAAGTATATCTCCAGGGTCATTTCAAAAATGATAGACTTGACCTTGAAATGACTGTTGGTGAGTATCAAGATCCCAGCAGAAGTCTCCATTGCGTGCTACACCTTAGGTACAATAACTAGTTAAGCATTAAATGGAGTGAAAATCGTGCATAACTTTGATACATAGTTCAAAAACTTTTAATGTATGGTATCGTGTCTATGAGAAATTAAAAGAGTTATGAAGAAATTTTCAAACTGCAGCTAATTTGGCCATAGCCGATCTTCCATAAGAATGATACTTGGTCTCTTGTCCTTCGAGATTGAACCTTTGATATTATTACAGAAATGGATAGAGAACATGACCTCTACCGTGATCACGATAAATATATCTCCAAGGTCATTTAAAAATGATGTACTTGATCTTGAAATGACTTTGGAGATAAGCTGAAAATCCTGCGCTATCTTGACACACAGTTCAAAAAGTTTTAACCTTTTGGCCTCGTGCTTATGAGAACTTTAAGCCATGAAAAACATAATTTTCCTACTGCAACTAATTTGACTGCAGTCTATTTATCATAAGAATTATGTGGGATCTTTTGTCCTTCGAAATGGGTCTTCTATGATTATTACAGAAGTGGATAGAGGAGATGTCGTTGAAGAGTAAATCGTGGAGACATTTTTCGATTCCTTGACTAGTTAGGGTCCATATTTAAATCATTTTTGCTTGCAGTGTTTGAAATAAGAATTAGTTTCATATTTTGTGTCTTCTCCTTTAGGGTTCCCTACGTCCAAACGAGAAACGGAACCCTTATAGGGTACTCGCGTATCTATCTGTCCGTCTGTCACAGTCAGTGTTCCGAATCTACCGGACCGATTAGTTGAACACATATGAATTTCTGTGACTCAAACACGGACACATAACGTAAATAAACTAATTTTGAACATGGAGGTCATTTTTCGGGGAACAATAGAAAATTTAAAAACGCATTTTGCAAACTGTACCGTGTGATATATCAAATGAAAGGACTTGCCCATTCCACTCCTTATCTCCCAAACAACTGCACCTAAAATTTTGAAAAACATACACAAAATAGTGCGTTACGTACAGATTACAAGAAAATGAATAAGGAGTCTACGGTATGAATATAACGTGATAAAAGTTTCAGCAAAGCAATTACAATGTTAAGCTGGCTCTCGGGTTCGGGTTCCGTACGTCCGAATGAAAAACAGAACCCTTATGAGATTACTCGTGTGTCTGTCTGTAATTTTTTTTTTCCATTAGTGTATATTGCACGTAGCCGCTCTGATAAATCTGTTTGTCTAAATAACGTTAATAATGAATTAGATAGCTATTATTTAATTATGACTTAATAAAGCACTAAAAAGTATGAAGGTGTTTTTGTGCAATCAATCTTTAAAAAAAATCAATTAACGCATTGTGTTTTACGTAAGAGCATGGTCATATTTTTTTATAAATATGTACCGGTACCTACTTGTAAAACAATTTCAACATGTGATAGTTGCAAAAGGGTTACCACAAGAATATTGACAAAGACCCTTCATAAAAAAACAGAAAAAGTTTTTAATATGCATCTACTGTATTTCACTATTTATTGTCCTGCAAGTTTTGCATGAGAATCAGTGAAATAGCGATACTTCAAAGGGTTGGCCTTTCCAGGGGACGCTCAATTTCTTCAAAGATTCTAAGAAAAAGTAGATACTGAAGTTCGAATTTTAGAAGCAATCTGAGTGGAAGTCCCCGAAATTACAAATTCAGTAGTAAAAATTTTATGACATTTAAAAAAGTTGCTCTACGGGTGGCAGAGCCCTACTTATTATTTATATTGTTTGTTTTTTTATTTTTTAATAATATTCCCTTATTACGAGATTTTCTCTTTCCTTTTTATGAAAGTGAATGACAAAGTAGGCATTGTTGTTTTACGAATAGAAAGAAATTCTTGAATACAATTAAAAAATATAATTAGTAAAAGAACAAACTTGGGAAAAAGAAACTACGAGAAAGTGGTACAATTTTCTTTTTAATTATTTTTTTTTTAATAAACTAATATCCCAGATTCATAGAATAAGAATCATTTATAACAATTAGCACAAAAATGTTGGAAAAAACTAGTCATATCCAATTCCAAAAAGATGATTTATATGTATTTCTAAAACTTGTTCTTTAATGGGTACCATTATCTGTAGGCGAACTAATTTCACGTCCATCATGGGGCAAAGATCAACCCAACAACTACAATGGTGAACAAAACTGCGTCGTGTTAGATGGAGGTCGCAGCTGGCTTTGGAATGATGTAGGATGCAATCTAGATTACTTACACTGGATATGTCAGCATTGTAAGTGAGATTCTTTTATGCAGAAATAATCTACTAACACCTACTCAAAAATGTTACAATTTTAAAATGTTATAAGTATTTACCTGCTTATAGAAATAACTAATTTTAGTATTGTTTTTTTGATTAAATTAACGATCGCATTTACAAAGTGTTATTAACTAATTCTTAAAACTTACTTACTGTACATTATTAAGAAAAGAAAGAGTACCTACAAGCCACTACAATAAATGAGTTTCTCCAGAAATAAAACGTAACCACCTTAACCATTACAAATCGCATCATCTTAATTTATTTGCTATAACCACAACTGCTTTTCTTTTTTTTATTAATTGATTAATACAATCATTATAAAATATTTGGTACTTGATTGCTTCTGAAGTAGCAGAAAATTAGTTTTGTTGCATTGATGATAAAAATATAATTTTCCTTTAAGGATGCTTGAGAGGTATGCGAAAACGGTACGAAACGAATAAAAATTTAATAGAACGCTTATCATTCAATTCTAAAGCTTCTCTAAAAATTACAAACCGATTCACTAAACCGTTAGAAACTTCTTACAATTAAAAGAAAATGTAATTTTACACGTAATCTTATTCGTTGATTGAACAGATTAAATGTATTTTTATTAACAGAACGAAAAAAGCTACCGGACATTTCAAACGTTTATAATAATTAACATGAACTCCAAACAACTAGTTTAGCATAAATTTATTCAAATTCAATAAACGGTTTTCGAGAAAATTATGAAAAACTGGTCGAAAATCTAGTATTCATTTGATAAATTAATTAATTTACAAATAATAATACAGAAAATATTCTTTTGTTTCAAAGTTAAAATCAAGACATATCCACTGTCAAAGGTTATTTAAAAATTTTCCATATTATTTGCTTTCTCTTATTTTCTTCAAAACTTTTGGTGAAATTTTCTGTTTTCTCTCAAAGTATATACATTTTCTTAGTATAGATACTACAGTCCATTTATCCGAACAAACTTTTCTGAATTAAAAGTTATTTGTTTTTTTAATTTACAAACATGTCGTTCCATTGAGTAATCTCTAGTTTTGTTTCATAATTTTATAGTTTATTTTTTCATCGAAGGGTAGGTAATAAAATTAAACCTCCTGTTTTTTTCCCGTTACAAAATAAGGCGGAATTTCTTCTGTCATCATCATAAGGTCCTCAGTTCTAGGAGACGTGCCTTCACTTTTTCCTATTCTGAACTAATCTTCGCATTTTCCTAAAACTAGATCATCCCACATCCTTAACTATTTGCGAACAGTAATCTATCTACCAATACTCCTCTTAACTTTCGTTTCTGCCTCTAATATGTCTCTGAGCAGACCTTCATGCCTGAGAAGGTGTCCTACTAACCTATCTCGCCTATTTTTTTATTGATTTCCATAGAGTCCTCTGTTTTCCTATTCTTTCTAATACCTCTTCATTTCTAACCTCATCCGTTCGCCGTTAACCACATTTCAAATGTTCGAACCTTTTCTTTTCAGCCGCGCTCACCGTCTATGTTTCGCACCCGTACAGCGCCGCGCTCCAAGCATACACCTTTAACAATCTTTTTCGAATTTCTAAATTAACCTTTCGCGAACATAAAAGTGACTTCTTTTTATTGAAGACAATTCGACCCTACACTATCCTCTGCTTTATATCCCTACTACTCCTTCCGTCCTGACTTATCTGACTTCCTAGATACCTAAAATCAGTCACTTCTTCTAATCTGTCGTCTCATATCTTTATATTCTCTCTTTCCCTACTGTTTCTTCCCTTGCATACCAGTATTTTTGTTTTACTTTATTTATTTTAATAAGAACATAAAATAAACTAGCCTTGTTATTCAGCATTTAAACATACTGAGTTTTCAGTCATACTTTGGCGGCTTTTTAACATTTCTACACAAATTTTTTAATCAAAATCATGCAGGGTTATTCACAACTATATCAATAGTATTCTCTGTATGCCCGTTTTACGATCATATTTCGCAATATTGACCCAATTCGGGGTGTTTCACGCGGGATTTCGGTTTATCTGAAATATTCATTATCCGAACCGACACCGTCCCGGTCATTTCGGATAAACGGGAGTATACTATATTTATTTACCTCATGGTATGCTTTAATACATAATTATTCACGAATTTCTAATTTTAAGTACTTTTGTCTACGATTCTACCTCCCAAACATCGTTAAACAAAAGACACAGAAATATAAGTTTTATTCAGTAACAAGCCACACAAATAGTGTAAAATCTATCTTAAGTGAAAGTATAAAACACTTTCGATTTTGCGAAACAAAATAAATACTTTATCACGAAATACCTCGGGTAATTGTACTGAATCAACTTAGCATTGTAAGTAACTTTCAATCTTTATTATACATGTTTGCACAACCATCCTCAAAACTCAAAAAAATTAAATACATGTCGCTAATACAAAATTAATGGAATAGAAATAAAGTACATATTATTATTCTTTATTAAAATCAGTTACAATTCAACAACCCAATTTTTATCCTATTATTATCTACACGAAATCAACGTAGGGCACTCTTAAATTGATTACATTGTTTTCTTCGAACAAAATATCCCTAAAACAAAATACCCCAAGACAAAACATCATTTACTATTGATTTCAGCTTTTGACTTTCAGTATTTTTAAATTCCCTTCACTATTTTCAAATTCCTTTCATTAATTTGATATCGCCATATTTTCCTGGAAAATGAACACATTTTTACATTTACTCATTTACATTAATTAAATAATTATTAATGAACAAAAATTATATGCATAATAAATTTTATTGGCATTGTAAAATAATAATTCATAAGGTAGGTATGACAAAGTAAAAACAATAGAAATTAAATAATGGATTTATTTATTAATGCAGCAATTATCGAAATACACTTAGGTAAACTAACAAGAATAATGTAGATAATCTGTACAGTGATATTAATAATGTTGTAAAAACTACAAAATTCATAATAAGCAGTGAAAGCTTATAAAAAACAAATTTAGTACTTACACTTACAGCTTTTTATTAGTGATATTTTGTTCGGGGATGTTTTGTCGAGCATTTGTTGTCGGGGGATGAAATATCATGGGACCAAAGCCCTACACCGTCTACCCAAACTCTACCCTCATTCCCTGTCTTAAATTTCTCTATAACACTTACATACACACTCTCTCTCTCCTTCTAAATGCTTTGATACCCAAACCCTTTGCCAATCCCTCTTCAAATCTTCTCGAGATCCACCACATATCTAGACACTTCTCTTTTTCTAAAATCCTCCCCCCTTATTATTTCCCTACATCTGTTCCTTATCAATTCCCCTACATTCATCTCCTCCCTGAACCACTCTGTCATCTCTGTCACTTGTTCCTAATTGATTTTTAATATCTTTAATAGAAATAAAGTACAAAGTGTATTTATTTTAGCACCCTTATTTTGTGGTAGTCCCGACAAAAAACTAAACACAACAATAGTAGGGAACAATTACGAAGTAGGGTCTCAAATTCAATACAATTGTCCAATCGGTCACAGACTCATAGGAATCGAGAACAGAACCTGCGAGAAAAATGGTTTTTGGTCTGGAGAGGCACCATCTTGCAGATGTACGTTAAACAAAACCAGTTTAAAATTATTTTTTATCAACATTACATACTAACTATCACCTACAGTTGTCGATTGTGGATCCCTAAACGATCTCAAGCATGGATCTGTCACATTAATTGATAATAGAACAACATTTGCTGCCAAAGCTCATTACACTTGTCATGAAAATTACACCCTGATTGGACATGAGTATCGAACTTGTGGTAAAGATGGTCTTTGGAGCGATCAAGCTCCGCAATGTTTGTTTGATTGGTGCCCAGATCCACCAGAAACCAATGGAGGTGTAGTGGTCACTTCTGGCAAAAGAACTGGTGACACCGCAACATATTCTTGCCAATCAGGATACATCCTCTTTGGACAATCGGTATGCTTTAGGATAAAATATAATTTTCTTTTTCTAAAGTTCATTATTGATTTACGGAACCAAAGGTGTTATCGTGTGGACTGGGAGGACAGTGGTCCGGAAAAGCACCAACATGTAAGTACGTAGATTGTGGTGCACCCCCAAATATTGATAATGGACGATACGAACTTATAAACGGTACCACATCCGTGGAAAGTATTATACGATACACCTGTGATAACGATTATTGGTTAGAAGGGGAAAAGACCCAAAAGTGTACACGGGAAGGGAAATGGTCTGCTGATGCACCCTCTTGCCTTTGTAAGTTTAAAAGAACTTCATAAAGGGGTTGAAGTTTTTAAATGATTTGATTTTGTTATATGTAGTAATATCATGTGAAGAACCAGAAGTACCAGCGGGTAGTTTTGTTGTTGGCTACGACTTCAACGTCCACTCGACCATAGAATACCATTGTGAAGTTGGTCATATTCTTAGAGGTGAATCCCAACGGACTTGCGACATCGACGGCGAGTGGACAGGGTCAGTGCCATTCTGTGAATGTAAGTCAAGATAATCCATGTTGATAAGTAAAGTAAAAGGGACACTAACTTTAAAAAAAATGCATTACTTAATATAGTAAACAGATACGGGTCTAACTTTTAGATTAATGCTATGGTCGTAAAGAGACAAAACACGTAATAATAAATGTTGAAATCTCTTCTTTTCAATTGTGTAATTACTTATGCCCAAATTTTCTAAAAAAAATTTAGCGAGCAAGAAAGCTTCAAAAATCATTTTTTTGTGTTTTTTAATAATTTTGTTTTCGCAACCTAAACTAGAAAGTTTGACTTTGGAACATTAATTTTCTTCGATATTTCTAAACGGAGATATTCTGCCTTAAAAGCAAAAGAAATTGGAAGCATGATCGACTGAAAATTAAATATTTCAAGCCTTAATTAGCATTTCTTTTCCGTCTCCTTCCCATGGTTGATCACAAACATAACCCATTTTTGAATGTAGTAATTGCTGTCAGAAAGTGTCCCTTTTAATCGTTTGAACGATTGTAGATAAACAATAATAAATTTATTTCTCTTTTTCTCAAAGATATTGACTGTGGGAAGGTTCCCACAATGCTATATGGTAGTGTAACGTACACAAATGATACCACGTATCTGGGTAGTGAAATTTCTTACAGTTGCGTCAGAAATTATAGACTTGTAGGAGTACCGAAGAGGTACTGTCAAGAGAGCAAGATGTGGAGCGATTCCGCTCCAAAATGTGAAGGTATTGGACACCAATTAAAAATCCAATAGGAATTAATATCATTCATTGTTCATCTTCTTCTAGAAATAAGATGTCCAGAACCTATTTTGGCAGAGCACAGCATTCTTTCTGTCACTGGAAACGACAGAATGTATGGAAGAACATTAATAAGGACTTCAGAAACCACAAGTGCTGCTTCAACCACGTATAAAATTGGAGCTATTGTAAAATACAGATGCGAAAGAGGTTACAAAGTTGTCGGAGAACCTTTAAGTACTTGTGAAGATACAGGAAAATGGAGTGGTGACACCCCACAATGTGTTTGTAAGTTTTACAGTTTCCAAATAAGGAAACAAATGTGATTTTACCTTTTCCTCTTTCGTTTAGATGTTGATTGTGGCCCTCCAGAAAATATTGCAAATGGTAAAGTGACCATGGTTTCAAATGCTACCTACTATGGAGCGCTTGCACTATACTATTGTGATACTAATTATGAACTGGATGGAGTCTCAAGAAGACTGTGTCAAGAAAATGGAACATGGAGTCTAGATCCACCAGTTTGTAAAGGTGAGTGGGTATCTTATACTTGTTAAACTTACTTCAATCGAAAATCATTTTTCTTTTATTCCCTTCCAGAAATACAGTGCAAAGATCCAGATGTTTTGGAAGGAGTTATGGTAAGCGTGAGTACCTACAGTGTTGGTGGAATCGCCCATTACTCTTGCCCAAGAGGTCATACTATGCAAGGAAACTCGACAAGAACATGTTTGATCAAAGGGAACTGGAGTGAAAGGGCACCAACGTGCATACGTAAGTTAAATGTTTTTATTGACTTTTGACTTGTTAATTACAAATACATTTTTTTCAGCTGTTGACTGTAAGAATCCAGGAACGATAGAAAATGGAAGAGTTTTGGTAATGAATGGTACAACATATAACAGTGCCATTGAATACCACTGTATTCCACATTTCCAAAGAATAGGACCATATTTAAGGAAATGTCTGGAAAATGGCGAATGGTCTGGGGAAGAGCCACGGTGTGAACGTAAGTTAAAACTTTTAATTCCGTAGGTATGTTTTTTTTAACAATTAAGTGATTTTCTTTGTTTTTGTTTTGTACAGTGGCAGTTGAAGATACTCAAGACAATTCAACAATTGGTACTAACATTGGGATTGGTGCAGGAATCGTTGTCTTCCTGCTTATCCTCTTGGGTATTATTTACCTTAAACTGTAAGTGATCTCGTTTGTTTTCGTTTTTATTTGTTATTCTATTGAATAAAGAAATTCGAAGTGATCAGTATTCTATCGAAACTGTCAAACGCGGATCGCGATTTTGATCTTGTTGGATCTCATCAGCGCGTCGCAGACAGTTTTGACAGGACACAGAACAATGTAGCATTGTACTACAGATGGCGTTTACCGCGCCATTTGTAGGATTTCATAAAACGTACTGTGTTAAGGCATCATGTAAAGTTGCTCTGTGTTCTGTCAAAACTGTGTGCGACGCGCTGATGAGATCCAACAAGATCGAAATCGCGATCCGTGTTTGGCAGTTTCGACAGAATACTAACCACTTCGAATTTCTTTGTTCAATTTTGATAACGTGCCTATCACATAGAGGTGAGCAAGTTGATATCCATTTATTTAAATGGACCTTGTTGAGCATAACGAATTCCAGTAACTTGTAGCACTGAACTACAGATGGCGTTTACCGCGCAATTTGTAGGATTTCATATTATTCTATTGTTCTATTGTTAATTTATAGTCGCCGTGCTACTCCAGTGAAAAACACCGAAAACGTGGTGGGCTCTGAAAGAAAAGAAGACAGAAACGCAGCTGTCATGAGCTACGCAACTCTCAGTGATCGAAATGGTTACATGCATGGTCCAATGCCTCCGGACATTTACGAAAACATCCACGATGATAACATGTACGATTCCCCATACGAAGAGACCAGCAGGGACAGCGGAACTTACGAACCTGAACCTGTGGGGAAAACAAATGGAGCCATGGTAACAATCAACGGAGTGGCTGTACGATGAACAAAATAAAATGAGGACATTCTTATTGATATTGTTTTCAAATACGTCTAAGCAAAATGGTGTATAGAAACTGTTTTGTTTTTGTTGTTACCACAATATGGAAGTCGGTTGAGTGACGTAAATGTGCAATGGATGAAGTGGTCTATTAAGACTGATAAAAAATAACAAACGTGGGGCTTTTAGGCAGAGGTAAGTAATAAAAGCAAAAACCATCGCAAATATTAAATGTGATTTCTTGAGCATACTGTTTTAAAAACTTATGTACAAAATAATCGTAAACAGAGAGAGTTTATATAGGGTTTCTTAATTTAATAGTAAAAAAACATTCAAAATAAAAACAGGGAGACTGTGGTAAATTAACAAATAAATAAAACAGAAGACTCAGCCCAACTACCACTAACACAATTTTACTAAGCGGACACGTGTTTCGCCCAGTTTAAATGTAGGCATTATCGAAGCGAGACTGGTTCTAAATTTTTTTTTTGTTTAGTTTATTCTCGAGGAGGGGAAATCTTCAAAAGACACCCCTTGAAAAGGGGTAGTGTCGGATTCGCCGAAGCGCCTACCGACTAAAACCCCTCCTCGAGTAGGGATGTCAACCCGAAAGTTGTTACTCTCAAGGGAAGATTTTGGCTAGATTGGGAAGGGAGAGAGATTGAAGTGGGGTGGGGAGTGTTTCTGGGGGAATTATGTGGATGTGAGTAGGTGCCCCATTACGAAAGTAGGGTGGGGACTCGCGCTAAAAATCGAAACTAGTATTGAGCAAAATGAACCACTCGAACCTATAATGAGCAAAAGTGTACAGCTCGAAGTTTTTAAATTTAAAATTTTCTCCTATTTATAAGGGCGGGGGTTGAACACCGAAAAGGAAAGGTAGTGGAAAGTAGAAGAGGGGTTGGGAGGGAAATTTGAATACATTCAATGCCATTTGTAAAATGTTTAAAAAACCAATACTGTTGGCCTAAGAAAAATAACTTTACAAATGTATGCTTCAACAAACAAGTAAGGAATGGATTTAAACGAAATGTGTGTGTTAGATAACCGTTAATACATCTAGAATTAGCTCATGCTTCACGACAAAATGCTTAATCCGAGGGAAAAAAAAGGAAAAAAAATTAGCAAACGTGTTCAATAACCGCAGTTGGGAAAACTTAATAAGAATAATAATAAATTGTGTTAGTGGTAATTGGAGTGAGTCTCCTATTTTATACATTTGTAAAAGAAGATTGTTATTATTAGTAAAATTACGCAATAAAATTTAAATTTATTTACTGTATAACAAAATAAGTGTTTCCACGCTTTAACGTGGTACAATATCAATAACGATCGATTCGAAAGGGCCTATAAAAGAAATAGAGCCCATACAGGCCTGTGTGAATAATAGTCCAATCATTTTAGACGTATGAAAATGTGACGTCTGATCCAACAAAGTAGATGCTTCTTTCATTGTTTTTTTAATTGTTTTATTTTGGTGTTTTAAAAAGATATTAAAGATTGAGAAAGAGATCACTGCAGCATGAAAAATTATTCTAAGTCAAAATTCACTAAAGAAAGTTTTCTGCGTTTTGTATAACTTAGAGGTCATCGAAAGTTACTATAAGAATGGAAGATAATTAAGTTTCCCAAACAAATAATCCCTTCAGAAGGAAAAGTAAAACCAGTAAAGCTAAACATTAGGGCATCCGAAATATTGATAATATATACAGGGTGTTCCACCTAAGGCGCTTTCGTTTATAACTCTATTATACATTTAAAAAAAAAAATTTTTATAAGTGGTGTGGAATCACATAGTGTATATAACAGAAAATATTTTCAGTCATACAGGGTGCTCCATTTCTTCGGGACTCTATCTAACTGCGTAATTTTAAATATAAAATATAACAGGCTGATTCTGTTATATTTTTGGATTCTTTAATTACTTTTAGGTCAATTTTGTTAACAGTTCGCTGTACCTATCTGTAGTAGTTTTTAAGATATTCAACTGTTTTTGAAAAAAATTACACATTTTGCCCATAGCAAAAAAGGTACGGTAATGCCTGCTTAAACGAACTGTCCAAACCGCATGTTTTCAGCTTTTTTGCTTTAGATGTCAATTGGTTTTATTAAAACAGCTGAAATTATCTCAAAAACTACTAGAGATAGGTACAGCGAACTGTTAAACAGAGAAACAAAAAATGTAAAAATATACAGTGGTCCATTTAAAATAACGAAGTAAGGTAGCGTCCAAAAGAAATGAAGCACCCTGTATGACTGAAAACATTTTCTGTATATACATCAACTAATTCCATACGACTTTTATGAAGACATGTTCTTTATTAAAAGTATAATAACAGAGTTATGGAGGAAACCGGTTTAGGTGGAACACCCTGTATATGATTGTCAAGGTTTGAAACTTGGTAGTCTCACCTATGAAATGGAACAGTAAAAAACCCTGGTCAAGGCGGATACTTTTGCACACCATAATCGGACCTACCCTACCTCTATCCTAATACAAACTAACTTGACCTAGGCTAGTTGGGGTAGGGTAAGTTATAAATGGTAAAAGTCCTCGCTAGCCCTGGAGGTTTTTTTCCGGTCCATCTTAAAGCTGAAACTGCCATGTTTCAAACCTTGCCTAATACATATCTGAAATATCTAAGACTGTCGGGTTCCGTATCAGGCAAAATTCGTAACGTAATATAATTTCAGACGGATAATAATATAGGAAAATTAGTAATTTTTTAATTAGGAAGATAATGTATTAAGTGCCTCTTCTTTATTTTTAAAATGACAAGGTAAAGATTCTGGATTTTATTGCATTAACTTACAAGATTAACGCCAATTTCAAAATAAATAATAAAAGTTGTAATCAAGAACGTTAAGAAAGTATGTAAGTAATAATTTAATAATAACTCAAATTCAAAATTATTGCCGGCATGTTGGTTACATACATACATGAGATTTTAGAAAAGCTTTGCAATTTATTGTGAATAATATGTACTGTTTTATTATTAAACAAAAAAAGCTATATAGACTATTCTCCTTTGGATTATTTTAAGTATTTTTCAAACCTACAAAACAATTAATTTTTTTGTATTTCCAGAAATTGCATTTATCTAATAAATTTAAATCAACTCGTAAAATTTTTATGACTTATGTGTGGTAACTCCTTCTATTAATAATGACATAATTGTTGTTGTTAATTACACTTTGCACTTGTCATTCTATGTGATAAAAATATCCGTTACTTCATTTTAAGTTTATAATTGGATTGTTAGTGTAGATTTACAGTTTTACCAAAGACTATCACGTACGATTTTACAAATAAAAGTGTTCGATAGATAAGGTACTGAAAAAAATGCAGGTATAGCTAGTTCTAAATCTCATGAGCCTTTACATGCGCGTGAGGCAGACCTTACTGCATTCGTATTGCACATTACAAAAACATTGATTCGACCGTTAATCGTGCCTCACTATACAACCACGGATGGAGCTTCAAATAAACAGAAATCAAATTTTGTCACTGCTCAACCCAAGGACCATGAGATTCTGAACTACCACTAGCAAAAGTTTTGTAATTACTTTAAAATTATCATTTTGTTCTAGTTAAATACACGTAATGTACGTTATATTTATGTAAAGAAACAAAAAACGAAAATAAAATTTGTATATAAATAAAATTACCTATACATGTAACATATCATTTATGTTATAGTTTTTATCAAGTAGATATAATGTATTTTTATATTCTAACTTTTGTGTAAATATTTTTTTTAAGTATTATAGCGCATATCTCTCTAAATAATGTCACATTTAAAAAACTATTTAAGTTTTACAATATGTATAGACAGTTTCAAAATAAATCCATGTTACATAATTAATGTTTCACTATAGCACTTACAATTATATACCGGGTGATAGTAAAACAATACGTGCAAAACAAGGTAAGTTAATTGAAGGCAATAGTCTAGACCAGGGATGGCGAACCAATGGCACGCGTGCCGTTAGTGGCACGCGACACAATATTTTGGGCACGTCACTAATATCAATCATAAAGTTTAGTTCAATATAGATCCAAAACTTTATTGAAACAAGGAAACTAATTGAAACAGAAAGATTGGCAGGTAATACAAGTGAAAATGCTAATAACAAAATTTTGGAAACATGAAATGTGTTACCAAACACTTTTAATTGTTTGAAGAAGCTGGCTTATGCTATTTTAACAACGTTTTTCCCTCAACCTATGCCTGCGAGTCATTATTTTCAGAGATGAATAACATTAAAAACTTGGTTAGAAATCGTTTGACAGAACTCCAGTTTAGCATGCATTCTGCTAAAAGTAACATTTTACAACCCTAATCTAATCTGCAACAACAAAAGTAACACTAATTTTACTTTAATTTAAATTACACGTAAAGTTTAAACATTGCAAAATGTTCCTATTTTTTTGTAGTAAATAAAAAAGTTTAAGTTGATATTATTATTATTTTCCCAATAATCACATAGACAAAATTATTTGATGGCACGTCTTTGACCTGATTAAACTTTTCTTTATAAAAATGGCACGTCGATACATAAAGGTTCGCCATCCCTGGTCTAGGCGATGGGACTATCGTTCAGACGGTGATGGTGATGGTCGACGGGGAGGGGGAGATTCAAGGACTCAACGTGGGAGAGGTAAAGTGGTGGAGGGGAAGTGGATACTAAAAATTAAAACGGTAAGTAAGTAATGGAGGCACAGGGGCTAGGGGTAAAAATCATTTTTTATTTAAATTTAGTATAAGAATAATTTTAAATAATTGGCAATTTTGTGCAGACAAGGGTGAAGTTAAGCACACGGAGGGTGGGTGGGGGAGGTGCTTAACTGATACTTAACCGTGCATTGTCAAGTAATAAGTGAGACTTCAAAAATTTTAATTTTTACCCTCCGTCTCCCACGCCTCCACTTCACCGCCCTTTTTTACAATGGGGATGAAGTTTTTATACCCCTCTATTACCACCCCTCAACCCATACCTCTCCTTCCTCCCTTTCGACCTCATCCATCCTTACCACCCCCTCCACTCTTTCCACCGCCGTCTGAACGATCGTACCACCATATAGTCGTTTGCCATTTTTGTTTTTACCCTCCACCTACCCCGCCAGCAGTTTTTATCAATAGGAATGAAGTCCTTGGAGACCCAATATGCACAATTTATTCAAATAACATGTACATGTTCTTTAATGATTTCGTATGATTTTCAATTCCAGGAAAAGATATTTTTGGATTCTGCGACTCTATTTCTTTGTGGGTCATTTCGCACAACACCTTGAATCCGCATTTTGCGGCCAATTTTTGAGAAATAATAGAAGTAAAAGATGTCACAGTTGCTTTCAAACCAAGTGTCTTACACAAGGGTTCCCTAAAAGTAAAATGACCTTTAATCCCAATATTATCGCATGCAACGTACTCCTTACCTAGCTTTCAGAATCTGTAATCCTAAATTCTGTCCCCGGAATTCCGGTAGAACCAACAGTCCCATCGCAGTTAAATATTCGTCAATTTTTAGCGTTTCAAAGGGATCTTTAGCATTTGTTACGTGATTAAGAGCTCCGATAATTCTTTTTGAAATTTCCGATTTGAACTGCATTAAAAGATAATTATAATGATCATGAAAATAATTATGCACAAAGCAGTCATTCACCCAAAAAAATTAATGACCTAGAAGTCTGTTGTCTCATGACAGGGTTAGGACATTAAAACTGAATATTTATAAGTGTTTTAATCAAAGGTGCGGTAGATTCAACATACCTTTTAAGTCATAGAATTATTTTTACTAATTTTTTGATTGAAGCTCAAAAAGTTGTCAGATTCACATTTCAGTTAGAACAACCAGATCATTTAGAATAATCACTACGTCTATCTGGATTTTATAGACAGTTAACACAATGATTCACAGTAAGAGCGGATAATCCAGAACCGGATCTTCTGACCAAGAAGACTTCCGGCAAAAATTAATTTTTGTGAATCCAATGCAGCGAGCTTTGATGTAAGTTTGTTTTACAGAAAAGAATTTTTAAGCGTTTAATATAGAATTACAAACTTTTTACGAGATAAACTCAAAATGGGTGTACAAAGTTTGAACTCAACATCAAAAAAAATTCTCAGAAACCTTCTAGAGAAAACGAATATTACAAAATAATAAACATACCAAAAAATTGATTCTGCTGTATCCATCTGATCACATGTCTAAGTTCTAAGCGCTTCTTACCCAGTTAGAGATATTATTTGATATATGATCTTGAATTTTGGCGAAACTCTTATACAAACTAAAGTGGGTGGATCGGCTTGCGAGTTTCGATGATTTAGGGAGCCGGACCATAGTTTTAAACATAATGGAGGGGTTCTTAAAGAGAAATCAAACTATGACAAGTCGCTGAAATAGAGCAGCAGCCCTTTCAGTACTCAAGGTGGCAGAAATCACGAGGATCGATATGGCATTCTGATGCACAATACTGCGATGTTGAAGACAACGAGAAACCACCACATTATGATCCCGAGAAGAACGTATCGCACAATTAAATGATGGCGTCCTCTGAGGTAAAAAAACTCCGGACGTAAACCAGTCCCCCATTTGGATGTCCGGGCGGGTCATTCACCCAAAAAAATTAATGACCTAGAAGTCTGTTGTCTCATGACAGGGTTAGGACATTAAAACTGAATATTTATAAGTGTTTTAATCAAAGGTGCGGTAGATTCAACATACCTTTTAAGTCATAGAATTATTTTTACTAATTTTTTGATTGAAGCTCAAAAAGTTGTCAGATTCACATTTCAGTTAGAACAACCAGATCATTTAGAATAATCACTACGTCTATCTGGATTTTATAGACAGTTAACACAATGATTCACAGTAAGAGCGGATAATCCAGAACCGGATCTTCTGACCAAGAAGACTTCCGGCAAAAATTAATTTTTGTGAATCCAATGCAGCGAGCTTTGATGTAAGTTTGTTTTACAGAAAAGAATTTTTAAGCGTTTAATATAGAATTACAAACTTTTTACGAGATAAACTCAAAATGGGTGTACAAAGTTTGAACTCAACATCAAAAAAAATTCTCAGAAACCTTCTAGAGAAAACGAATATTACAAAATAATAAACATACCAAAAAATTGATTCTGCTGTATCCATCTGATCACATGTCTAAGTTCTAAGCGCTTCTTACCCAGTTAGAGATATTATTTGATATATGATCTTGAATTTTGGCGAAACTCTTATACAAACTAAAGTGGGTGGATCGGCTTGCGAGTTTCGATGATTTAGGGAGCCGGACCATAGTTTTAAACATAATGGAGGGGTTCTTAAAGAGAAATCAAACTATGACAAGTCGCTGAAATAGAGCAGCAGCCCTTTCAGTACTCAAGGTGGCAGAAATCACGAGGATCGATATGGCATTCTGATGCACAATACTGCGATGTTGAAGACAACGAGAAACCACCACATTATGATCCCGAGAAGAACGTATCGCACAATTAAATGATGGCGTCCTCTGAGGTAAAAAAACTCCGGACGTAAACCAGTCCCCCATTTGGATGTCCGGGCGGGGACTACCTCCGGGGATGTCATCAATAAGTGCAATAAGGGTAGGTGCAATATTTCACGAGTCAGAGCGTGGAATGTTAATACAATGAGGCAAGTAGAGAAATTAGAAAATTTAAAAGTAGAGATATAGTAGGTATTACCGTGGGCAGTGAAGGTTAGAAATGGAGAGGTATTAGGAAGTATAAGGGAAACGAGGAGTTCATAACAAATAGGCGAGATAGGTTGGTAGGGCACCTTCTTAGGCATGGATGGCTAGTCGGAAACATGTTACAGGCTGAAATAGAAGTAAGAGGAGTAGAAGTAGTCCTAGATTAGATTACTGTTCGCAGATTGTTAAGGATGTGGGATGATCTAGTTTTAAGGAAATTCAAACATTAACTCAGGATAGAAAGGAGTGGAGGATGGAGGTCATGTCCAACCAGTCTTAGGACTGACGATCTTATGATGATGATGATCTTCTATGCAAAATATCATAAATTTAACTGCTAAATATGAAATAACTGTTGGGGAAGCGTTTCTTTTTTGTCAGCTAATATTTACAGCGAGTTTTTCGGTGACTTCGAATGAAAAAGAATTTAATTTACTTAAAATAGTTGTTAAAGATTTAACCAGAACCATCATTAAAGAGGAGAGACATGATGCCATAATGATGATAAAAAGCAAGAAAGACTTTTGCGATGCTCTAGACCCAAACAATATGGTGATTTATGAACAAAACTTAAACACAAGCAAATTCTATATTAACTTATTATATTAGGTACTTCTTTTATAAATATTAATACTTTTTTTTCAGGTTTTTCGATCTGATGTGGGATGAAATTATGTTGATTGAACATCAATCTTTGATAATTATTTTTTATCTATAAATGCATATTTTTGAGCGTATGTGTGTGTAAAACTTTAGTTGAAAAAATAAAGTAAAGTAATTGGTTATTCGGATGTGTCTCCCCTCCCCAAAACAGAGTACTTTGCTAGGGGCCTGTTGAAAAACATTTGAGGCACCACTCCGTATCTCAGTGCCGAAAATGGAATACCCTGTACATTTTTTGTATGTCAATTCCACTACACTGTTTATAATTACAACAGATAAGTTTTTCAAAAAAAAAAACAAAAGTAGTTAACTATTTGCGAACAGTAATCTAATCCACGTCTACATCTACCCCTCCTAACTCCCATTTCTACCTATAATATGTCTCTAACTAAACCTTCATGCCTGAGAAGGTATCCCACTAATCTATCTCGCCTATTTCTTATTGACTTCCATAGAGTCCTCTGTTCTCCTATTCTCTCCAATACCTCTTCATTTCTAACTTTCTCTATCCAAGGTATCCTCATCATTCGACTGTAAGACCACATTTCGAACGCTTTATGACATTCTGGAACCAGAGTTGAAAAAAATTAACTCATCTAGAATTTACAATGTCGACGAAACAGGCATAATGGCAGTTCAACACAAACACACTAAAATTATTGGTCTAAAAGGTAAAAAACAAACTGGAACTTTAATAACTCCAGAAAGAGGTTCGCTATGCAAACTGTCGTGCTATGCATGAACGCTAACGGGCATTATGTACCTCCCAATGATTTTTCCCCGGAAAAATTGAAAGCGGAGCACCCCTTAGATCTATTGGAAAATGGCATCCTTCTGGTTGGATTCAGTTTAACTTCTTGATGATTAATGATTTTAATTTTGGATGTACATTACTCATATACAAAAAAATTTGGACGTAATCAATAAAAATCGTGCAAATCACATAACTTTAATATGCCTGTCACCCCACTCAACAAACAAACTACAACCCTTGATGTAGCCTTAATAGCACCTCTAAAAACCTACTATTGCCAAGAAATTGAAAACTGGTTAAAGTCTAACCCTGGAAGAACAGTTTCACCCTATCAAAATGCTAGCTTGTTAGGAATGGCTGACGTAAGAGCAGCGTCAATGGGAATTTCTATAAATGGCTTTAGAAAATGCGGTATTACACGAAATATTATTCTGAAAATTCATTTTTGAATTTTTTACCCACTACACGCTACCTCAAATTAATGAGGGAAAAATTGTTGCTGTTGTCACACCCCCGCCGGGAATCGAACCCGGGACCTTTCGCTTTACGCACCAATGTTCTGACCACTAAGCTACGAGAGATGACAACAGCAACCACCACCAACCGACCTACACGGCTAACGATCCGTCGAACTAATGTAACTATATACACTGAATATACTATGATTAAACATACATACAATTTAGACATCTTTTCGAAGTGAGTTAGTTTAATATGAAATATTATTCTGAAAATTCATTTTTGAATCTTATACCCACTACACGCTACCTCAAATTAATGAAGGAAAAATTGTTGCTGTTGTCACATTAGTACGACGGATCGTTAACCTTGTAGGTCGGTTGGTCGTGGTTGCTGTTGTCACCTCTCGTAGTTTAGTGGTCAGAACATTGGTGCGTAAAGCCAAAGGTCCCGGGTTCGATTCCCGGCGGGGGTGTGACAACAGCAACAATTTTTCCCTCATTAATTTGAGGTAGTGTGTAGTGGGTAAAAAATTCAGAAATGAATTTTCAGAATAATATTTCATATTAAACTAACTCACTTCTAAAAGATATCTAAATTATATGTATGTTTAATCATAGTATATTCAGTATATAGTTACATTAGTTCGACGGATCGTTAACCTTGTAGGTCGGTTGGTCGTGGTTGTTGTTGTCACCTCTCGTAGTTTAGTGGTCAGAACATTGGTGCGTAAAGCCAAAGGTCCCGGGTTCGATTCCCGGCGGGGGTGTGACAACAGCAACAATTTTTCCCTCATTAATTTGAGGTAGCGTGTAGCGGGTATAAAATTCAAAAATGAATTTTCAGAATAATATTTCATATTAAACTAACTCACTTCGAAAAGATGTCTAAATTGTATGTATGTTTAATGGCGGTATTACACCTTTTAATCGTAACATATTTTGCCATCCACGAAAAATTAGAAATTTCTCTACAGGATTATGTCATCAGGGAAGAAAAACCTTCGGAAACGAATACCAAGAAAGAGACAACCCACACTACAGTTGATAAATCCAAAACAAACGTCGTCATTTTACAAAATGTTTTGATTCAAGATAACGTAAAAACTATCTTGCATTATATTGGCAGTAAGCGAATTATTCGAAAGATTTGGAACATTTAAGTGTCGAACAGGTAAGTAAAACAACATACTTCAAGGTTACTGGGTACATTGGGGGTGAACTGTTTTGGCATAATTAGGTTAGGTTATTTTTAGTTATTTATTAGCCGAAATTGAGAAAGTAACTCACTTCCGTTTTTTTTTTATCTCCCTTATATGAAATTGCGGTCATATTTAATCCTGCCACAATAGGTTTTCCTTTAGGATCAGGATTTTCCATGAAGCATATGAGTGCAACCTTGTCCTTAAGACATTCTGTCCACAACAACACCATATCTTCAAAAAATTGTGGGTCTGCTTTTGCGTCTGATATAAATAAAACAATATTCAAAACTTTTTCGGTAAATTTCGAAACGGAATGAGATTATGATAGATACTTGAATATCTGCATAAGGGCTCTTCGTTTATAAAGTAATCGCACATCATTGCGATTGCAGACTGATAATACTCTTCCGGAATGTCTTGAACCCAAAATTTCGGTAAAACTCCATTTACTTCCTTTTTCCCAGTGAATTTATGCCAAATTGACGGAAATGGTACATTTTCCTGCCTTTTCCAGCGCTGAGCCATTATTTTGCGATACAATCTACAAGTCACTTACTTACGCATACAAATCAAAAAAAAAATGCACGTGACGTAGAACTACGCTTGTTATATTGTCTTTTCATAATTTTATTTGTTTGTCATATTTCTTTTCTGCTTCGCCTTGAACATGACAAAAATAAAGAGTCATGTAATTTATTATCATCTAGGCATGTCATGCTTACTAATTTTCCTTATCACTTATCTGAGCCTAGATAAGGAACAATCAATTTTAGGTTTTTGCTTGTAAATGCATTTTAATATTAGATAACAAGCGTGAATAATTAGAAATAATTGTAATTTGTAGATAGTTTCTGCTCATCAGTCCCTACAACTTTTGCATTAAACTTTTTTCCAACCACCCTGTATATGTACACTATCTCGATAAAATTTGTTGTTCTACCTTAAGTTTCGTAGGGTAACTGACTTCCAAACAGCATCATATGGAACTTCGATTAATGTTTAGTTTACGATTAGTTATCACCCATCACCCGATATTCAAGGATTGAAATTTGTTTTTTAAAAAAATGATTTATATAGGGCGTTTCTGAGATAAGTAGCAAGCTGTAAAGGATGTTAACTAGATGCAATAGAGAATCACATGGTGGGTAATAAGGAGTGTGTTACACGACCGTAAGTCCAATCCAGCGCCTAGGAAAATGTTCATTTTGAAACTCACACACTGATCTTGTAATGTTTTCGAATGCACCATCACGTTGGAAAAAAGGCGGCGATATGGTTGGGGCATTGCACTAACATTGTTTTCACATTGTTCGTAGATTAATATCAAATTCTCTGTCGTACTAAACGCCATCGTAACAATTACTATTCTATACTGACTTATGACAGTGTCACATTGGCCTACTGTCAACCACTTACTTTGGCTTCATACATACATACAATCACACTTAATTTAATATAACAAATAACAACTAATGCAAGAATACAAAAATACAGAAAAAAGCAACACAGATGCTGCCAATTACCAGCTAAATCCCTGCATAATCGTACCAGGATCGTACTGTAGCTTCAAATATTATCGAATTCTCGAAAATGGAGAACTTTCGAAAAACTAGTATTTACTTAATTTCCTTGTACCTTATCACCTCTTGCAAAGGTGCTACTTATTTCAGAAACACCCTCTATATATGCTCGCTGTCGGTGTTTGGTTCATTATTTTACGGTTTTCACCTCAATAAACCGCTTATACCATAAACGCGTAAATATATGTGTAGGCACTGTAGTTCTACGTCAGGAATTACCCGAAATTTAAAAAATATTAATATGTTTCCAGTAAATAAAATTCCTAATCAATTCTATTAGTTTTATGCTCACCAGAAGAACACATAAACTTTAGACTCGTTTAATTCACACCTTCTGTTCATACACATGTAAATAGACTAGTCGTAAATGCAATACGAATCATTTTATTTATATAGGTAATACGTAAGTGCATTTTTTCAACCACTATCAGAATTATCGTTATCAAATAATTGTTGCTTTATGTGATAGATAGTTTTCAACATGCTACAGCAATCCCTACTCTTGTTACTAGTTGATATCATATATTATGCTTATTGTGTTTACATAGGAAAATATAAATACAATATATATGTATGAGTGTATGTACTTCAACTTATTAATTAACGCATTAATTGTTACGTACGGATTCAAAGTTGTTTCGAATAGATCCAGAAAAAATCCACCGAAAAAAAAAACAGGACACCAAAAGAAATTCTCTTTGAAAAAAGCTCTTAGAAAAAGTTCCCCTCTAAAGAAAATTCCCAGAAAACTATTCTCAAAATAAATAAATGAAGTCAATAGTTCCACTAATTTTTGATACCTAAGCATAAATAATAAACATTTTTTATCTTCCATAAAGCATATAGAGAATGGGTTAAAGTCAATCTCGGATGTTGTAGAATTTATTGGTGCAACTTTTAAGTAACAATGGGTTGGTACGTAAAAAATGTTCAAAAGTATATGAGTAAAAAGTTATTTCAAAAGCTAATTGACTTTTTCTACAACAAACCTGCGAATGTTGTGGGTTCATTACTGCTACGTGTGTTGTCCATCAACCATGCATTTAATTTTTCTATGCCAAACCAATCATGGTAAAGTTTAGATTTTAGGGAGTCCGACAATTTTCTCTATCAACAGCTTCTAAAAGTAAAATAGGACGAAACAGAATTTGAAATGAATATGTAGAACTGTTCAGATCATATCAATATTTGAATTTAACAAACTATCATTATAGACGATAGTCAGGTAATCTGTTTGTATAGGCTTTCAGGATCACAACAGATGTTTGTATCACAGGAAATTAGGTTTTTCTAATAGCAAACTTTCCTGTCATTAAAATGAAATTACAATTGCTTTCTTCTACTTGAACACAGCAGGACATACGATTCAATACTCCCAAATTTACATTTTATTCTGGTTCTATTGTCCTGCCTTATCTTTACCTATTTATGTCTTCGTGCAATAGATTCTTGTAAATTTGTAATCGCTTATGTACAGATACATATGTACGATACATACTGTTGTTCCACCACTCACCCTTTCCACCCTCCTTATCCCCACACAACCACTCATCTTAAATTATATATTTGTTTGTAAATATGAGAGACGAGAGTCTTGATCCAGCCTTCAACGAATAAATTGGTAATTAGACATTTGTATTTTTTATTTTGCACTTTTCATCATCATCATAATAATTTTTATTGTACTTTGTGTGTAACTCGAACTTGATTCGAAAATTAAATTCTCCCGAACTTTTGAGAATTAAAACAAGAACATTAAGGGCAGTTAGATCCAATACTCGGAGTTCCTACAAAACTATGTTTAAATATCACTTCTTCTTCTACCGCAACGGTCTCTACTGTGACTTAGTCACGGCTGCCCTTCACTACCTTGTGTGAGGGTAGTGCCCCTTCTATATACTCATCTTAAGTTTTATCATTTTATCTTGTCCTCATATTTTTATCTCATTTAATACCTTAGTCATCACCATCATCGTCATAAGGTCTTGGAATTCCACTTCTCTCTAACTCCAGCCAATCTTCTCATTTTTCGAACAACCTACATCTCTAACCATTTGCGAACAGTAATATATAATTTAGGTCTACCCCGACCCTTCTTAACTCCTGTTTCTGCATCCGATATGTCTCTAACCAGCTCTTCATATCGGGGAAGGTGACCTACCAACCTATCTCGCCTATTTCCTACTGATTTCATCAACATCCTCTGTTCTTTTACTCTTTTTAGTAATTTCCAACATTTTGTATCCATAACATTTTCAGCATCCTCCTATAACACCGTATGTTGAACGCTTCCAACATTTTGTTTTCCGCAACGCCCACCGTCCACAATGAATGCCCATATAAAGCCATGCTCCAAACATACACTTTTGATAATCATTTTCGAATATCTAAATTAACTGATTTCGAACACAAGAGTAGTTCCTATTTGTTAAAAGCAAAGCTACTCTGGGCTATGCTTATATTATTAATATTTTATTATTCTAGAATTACATTATACTCATACTAATGTCTTACCAATCGTTCCGTATTCATACAAGGTAAAACAGAAATAAATAACCTAAAGGTGTAGGGAATGGGCGCCTCCTACACCCCTTCTCACCCACCATATGCCTTACTCTACACAAAATTGTCATATTATCCTGTACTAAATTAAAAAAAAATAAATTTTGTACACCCTCCCCTTGAGCCTCCGTTTTGTCACCAGCAACTTCCACTAGTTTTTAAGGTTGTTCAAGGTCAGCCCTACCCTCCCCTCTCCACCCATCATCACCATCGTGCGAGCAACCATCGCATCATCTAGACGTTTACAATCATCATTTTCAGCCTCCATTGCCCCCGCCACCACTTCACCGTCCCGACTTATTATCAATAAAGATAAAGCCCCTGGACTTCCTCCAACACCCTCAACTTCCTACACCCCCGTCCGAACGACGGTCCCATCATCTATGGGGCCTATACAAGTGCCATAAATAAAAAGCAATAACACACACGGGAAAAGTTTGAAGAAATCTATATATTAGAAAATATATTATTATTAAAGCGAAAACAGCGCATAAAACATCTAAAAATGCTTCATAACTGAAAATCGATTCTATAATTATTCCTAAATAACCAAATTTGCCTACTGTAACAGAGACCCCATCTGCTTTGTACACATAAGTCCCTGTTTAGATAAGCAGCGAGAGATTAAATTCACATAGCTACACATTATTTATTGTAAAACGTCTCATTGTCATAAAGTAAGATAATTTTATCTTTTTACCTATTATTACTGTTTATTCATTATTTTAAGTAAACGTCAAGTATCCTAATGCCAATTGCGGTTTGTAACAATCCGGCTTAATGTTTAGTAACATGTTTATAAAGGCTCTAAAAACCGCTTGGGTAAAATAATAATAAAATGAGTCATTTTTTTAATTTAATGACTTATCTGCTACCAGATCTAACCTTTAATTATTAAACAAATTTTTTCCTTGAACTGTGATAACATAATTATTTGAAAATGTATATTTATGATATGGTTTAGAACAAAGAATCTAAATAGTCATTTTAGGGCAAATGGATAGAAAACAGGAAATAATTTACATTCTACATATGTATCTATATCGTGTCTGTATATCCACTTCAACAATAACAAAATTATTATTGATAATTATTAAAAAGACGGAGTCATTGTTTACTTCAGATATGATAGTGACGTGCTAGAAGTTTCCCTGGCTACTTCAGGACTTTTTCGATGGGATTACTTCTTTTTCAGTGAATTACTGCTATTTCTATGAAATATTAACTTGAAATTCTTATCCCAGAGACGAAAACTAAACAATAAAGTTAGAAGAACACTATTTAAAAAAAGACATTATACATATAACCAGAAACATAGAATCTTTATGAGCAAGAAAAAGACAAATATTTGTTATTAAATTTTTTTTTCAACGTAAAATACTTTTGGGAGAACAAGTACTAAAAATGTTTTAAGACATCTTCTTTAAATAAAGAATTGAAATGTGATCAACATCATCGATAAATAACATCAGAAAATTAATTTCTGAAAGTGGTTAGAAATAATTACTAACTGGAAGGGGGGAACGATCTAGTTTTACGGTTTAATCCTTAATCCATTATCTACTGATAATAAAAATAAAAAAATTGTTGTGTCCCCTCTCCGAGTTCGATTTGTAACTCGAAATCTCAATTGGCAATCTAATCTGACCTAACGTAACATAGCCCGATCCTAACCTAACCCAACGCAATTAAAAAAAAAGGACAAGACTACTCATTTCGTTCGCGTTGTCTTTATCTATAATAACCATATGTACTAATCAGCGGAATAATAAAAAAAACAATTGTGTGGTTTTATGAAACCACAATGCAAGTGAAATCCAATACTC